TCTTTTCGTTACTCGGTGGTTTTAGAACTGTTACACTTCTGGACTAGAGCCCAGCCATCAGGGACCTAATGAAGAGGTTAATTTCCTCACGAATGTTAACTATAAGCGTCCCTTACAGTATATGCATGATAAACTGAATGATGACGTTTTTACTCACATGTCTGGACAAATCTGGGTGCTGTTACTGTTGTTTAAGGTAGCTGAAATTCGAATTAATTTTGATTGGAACACTGCCGACCGGCAACCTGAACAAAACAAAACGTCTTTAAACCACGTGTCCGGCTGCGAATGCGACAATTTTATTACAGATCACTTTATTGATAACATATCCACACACACATGTTTCAATTCTTACAGTATGCTGAATATTTAAACAAAATCTGCTCACATTTAATCACCGACCACATGGTCCTTCCTTACCTCTTCCTTCTACAACGGCAAAGAACACAAAACGGAAATCCGTGAAAGCACTACTTAGGCAGAGACAAACAACCGCTAAGGAAATTGTTCAAGTTCATTGCAACCACGAGGTGACTCTGCTCTCTCACCGGGTTCTCTCGTACGCATGTCCGGTGATTGAGGCCAATGTCTGCAATGGTTACGTTGGTGGCCTATGACGATTTCCTGTCGCTGAAAGGGGGGGTGTTTTACACTCGTAGGTGTTAGGTTTGTGATAAAAACATAATACTATGTTAATTCAAAGGTGTGTGTAACACTCCTTCAGTTTCCCAGTGAAAATGACGGAAAGAGGAACGTCATATTAGCCATTTGAAATGGAAAAGAGCTCATGTGAACATGAGCTATGTTATCTCTTATATGCCATCCCAGTTTGTTTCTGCGCAGCTACTTCAAACCGAACGACGGAACCAAGTGATTTGCACTCCAAGTATTCTGCAAGTTTATGCTTCTACTCTTGTGTGAACATTAAAATACATGAAACTTAAAATTTTACCTGTTGTTTTATATGGATGTAAAACTTCATCTCTTATAGATCAAGGCTGCTTGAGAAAGTTTCTGGGAATATTTAAACCTTAAAACAGGAATGGAGACAGACATTTTATGAGCTATTGAAAGGACAAATTCTGGATAGAGGTTCTAGAAGCAGAAATTAAGATTGTTGTCAAGTCTGAAGGAATGACTGCAGATATGGTATAGCTCCTGGGTTGACTTAGTGTAAGGTCCAGCAGCAGGTTTCACACTTACAGACGAAGTGCCATAAAAGGATATTCTAATCATAAACTGCTCAGTATTAAAACTATGCAACACACTGGAGGTGGATGGTAGCTTTCCCCAATTGATCAGTGTGATGTAATGGCCTGCCTGCCTCTACTGCCCCCCCCCCCCCCTTAGACAAATCATTCCAGCCTCCTTCCTAATATGCATTTACTTTATGTAAGATTTGAGGTTTTCACAGCAGTGAGTATGAAGATTTCTGTCTTTTGGGTTGTTACGCTGTGTAGTCTGGTCGATGTTAACCAACGTTTCTGAGGTCATAGTGCCTGTCATCAGGGCGATGACATGGAGGCAGTATGACCTCTGAAACATTGGTTAACAACGACCAGACATATTCATCGCCCTGATGACGGAGGCATATGACTTCTGGAAAGTTTGTTAACATCGACCAGACTACACAGCGCAACAACCCAGAAGACAGAAATCTTCATTTACTTTATGCAGGTCAACATGTCATGAATGCAAAGTTAAAACAGCATATCAGTTTGTTATAATTGAACCATTCAGAAATCAAACATTTGCTATTGAAAATCTGTAAAATAATGCTCATTACCCTTATATGCATATATATTTATTGTGCATGGACAAATTAACAACCTCAAACATTCACAGAAACAAATTCAATAAAACCAACAATAAAACAAATCATTATCTGTGGTTCTGCCAATGTGACTATAATTTCAAACTACAAGTTGCACTGGTCTACCACCAGTTCTCATACTTTTCAAATCATGCTAATTCACACCTTGGCAAGGTTAAGGTCAACTCCTTACCAGAAGGATACAAATCAAAACACTTCATACTGTAATTAATTACTTTACTAACATAATACTGTATTACATACAAGAAATGCACTTTTAAGGAAACCTACAGAAGAGTTGGCTACTTCCTTGACTCCCAGGAAGATATATCTATCACGTGCACAAGGGTCGCACTATAATATGTATATATTACTTTGTCATGGTCAAAAACCAGCAGCAGCAACTGCTAATTTTACAAGCTTCCCATACAACAACATGATATCCAAAAGTACAGTGAGTATAGACAAATGTTAACACTTGCACAATCTAATAGACTGCACTCTCTCAAACATTTTGCTCGTCTCTTCCAATGAGAAAGGTTGGCGGAGAAAGACTTCCCCAGTTCACCATGAACCATTCACTCACTCTCGTACTTCACTAACTACTTTCATTACCTAGTTTAAGTCCACCTTGTGAAACATAAATCATAACATGAGCAAGGTAAAACAAATCACAAGGTATCAATGTAATTTGGTAGAAAAAACAAAGTCCATACAAAACACTTGTTGAAAAGCTGTAGCTCCAACTTAGTTTTGTAAAATCTTAAGATAGAAGTGATTTAAAATATATTCCTTTCAGAGTTATCAGTCTTTGAGGAAAATATCACATACTATATAAACTACACTTAAAAAAGATTATGTTCCCTTATCAAAATACTGCTGTGCATCGTTGTTGCGTGTGGTTCTACCGACCTTTCTCTTGGACTTGCAGCTTAAGTTTAAAATTACCTGCTACATCTTACATATCACAGTACAAAGTGTAATTGAGTTACATACCACAATCAGTGGCTTAACTTACACATAATTTACACAATATTTGAACTCTTTAGACTACTATGTACACGACCCTTGAGGGTGGACAGATCTTGAGGGGGTTAAGGAACATTTAAATCTGACAAACAACCTTTCAGTGAAAACAGTCAAAAACACAAAAGTCAACAAAGACAAAGCATTGACACACACTGTGCTTTACGGCGTCTTGCCGCAAATAAATATTGTTACTCATCCGTATCATTTCCGATGCTTTGATAGGAAGTTACAATAAATAATGAGATTGGCACTGGAAAGAACGCAGAGCACTTGATCTGATACGCATACAAGAGAACTTTACTACGAAGGACTGCATGGATCCATCGCACTATCTGACAACGTAGATAAATATCTGCCACATTTAGGCTCTTATATACATTGTTTATACACTATCTGTGCTCTTTGCCAGAACCATGACATGGCTTATTATTACATAAAATAAAATCTTTGCCCCCAACCCACCCCCCTTCTGAATGTTTCGTGCATCTCCACAGCATACAGAAATATTATGGAACTCTACAAACAGTTACAGTGACAGAAAACAAAATCAAAGTGGAATGTGGCCATTCAATTTTCTCAAAACAGCAAATACTGAAATAAAAAGGAAATTTACTTCCCACACACCGATAATATTAAGATTATTAGATATTTAAGATAACTGGAATTCTTCCTACAGTGAAATATATTGAACAAAAAAAAGTATGAAGTTATGCATCTCAAAAAGCGATAATGAATATAAACCAAGCAGATCATCCTAGGTGGATGGGTTGGGGGCTTATTGTTGTACGGCAGCTGGCTGTCCATAGCCATATGCATATGGCATGGGTTGATACTGACTGAATGCACTGGCAGCCATGCTCTGGTAGGCACAGGGGTTAGCCTGGGGAGGTGGGCGGGTTGACTGGAAGAACTTGTTGCTCAGAATGCTCTGCATGTTGGCATCTGTGTTATTCGGCAGCATGAAGGGGGGAGGTACTGAGTACATCCCTTGGTGGGGTGATGGGGCTGATGCCTGGGCTCCATTATAATTCTGAGTGCGGTTGTTGAACCTCTGGCCTTGATATCCTCCTCGTGGACCCTGGCCTCCATATGAGCGTGCACCTGAACATCCATTCTGTTGACTGTATGGATTCTGTTGGTTGTACCCATTTTGCTGACTGTAACCATTCTGTTGCCCATACCCATTTTGCTGGGTATACCCATTCTGCTGAGAGTAACCATTCTGTTGGCCATAGCAATTCTGTTGTGGGCTGTATCCACTGCTCCTGTAGCTCTCAGAACCACTCCTTGTACTGCTGCTATTTCCACTTGAAAACCTAGATAATCCTGACTGCCGGTACTCCTGAGTGTTGCCATTCTGAGAACGCTCATGGTTCCAAACAGATCCAGTGTTTCTCGTACCATTCTGACTTGACACAGAATTTCCACTGTCCTTGTTACGGTTGTTCCAGCGATTTCGTCCTTGTGGGAAAGGAACATTATCATATATTTATAACATACATATTACACAAAACTCATCAAAGAATGGGATACAAAAAGACTTCATGCATACAACAAACACCCTCAGAAAGATGGACTAGTCCCATGTGAATGTCAGTGAAATGAAGTGAAAACTTGTGACTAAACTGTTAACTGAACACACTGAAAACAACCCAAATATACAACTGCGCAACACAAAGTAATAAAACCATGTGTAACTACCTTTACCTCCAAACGTGGACCTAGCGACATTTGCTAATTCAGCCAATTTTGGGTTGATGGTTTGGTTTGCCTCTTCCAGTACTGCTATGAGTTCCTTTGCTTGGCGTGCATTGTTTGGAGTGAAGAATGCATATGCAGTACCACTCAAGTTGCAGCGCCCTGTGCGTCCAATGCGGTGGATGTAGTCTTCTGATGTGTTGGGATAATCAAAATTGATGACATACTTCACATCTTCAACATCTGTAACAATAAAACAATATTCAGCCTCAATAGTTTGATGGACAGTGAAACGTTTTGCAGTCTAAAATATAACATGAACAGTAGATAAGACAGGATGAACAAATACTGGACTGCACGGAAAACAAATTAAAAACATAATTTCATTTTCCATCAGAGGAATATTCAACGCCCACAATTCTAGCACACATCTACACAGTATACATACCTAACCCTCGAGCAGCCACATCTGTTGCAACCAAAATGGGTGATTTTCCATTGCGGAACTCTGTTAAGACATAATCTCTCTCTGGTTGTGACTTGTCCCCATGAATACTAATAGCTGGCCAGCTGATAAAAAGAAAAAGGAATGTATCTTGAGATAATATAATTACATACAATGTGTTTCACATACTTTACTGAATTACATATTGTAATATTTTGATGCACATGTTCATTGTGAATCTGCAGTCCTCTAAAGTCAATTTTGTTTATTGTAGGCAAATCAATATCTATCCAGCATCTGCTGGTTTGAATTTAAACTAAACTTGAAGTTGAAACAGGGTCTATATTGGTCTAAAACAGACTAATTTTAACACACTTTAAAGCAAACTCCAAACAATTGAATCAGTCCATTCAGTAATTCCAGATAAAAATATACAGATGGACAGGCATAAATAATTCCCTACTAGGTGTTATTATCCACCTTGCACAAAAAATGCATACAATCGTATAGATGAAGTAGGTGAAATATTTAATTAACAGAAGCTGGATATTAAACCATAACAAAAATAAGACAAAAGAAAACTGACCAGCCCACCACCTGCCATATTTCATTTAACTGAAAAAGCCTGGATCATGTATTATTACTAACTAGGTACATGCCACAGGACCTTCCTCAATGCACCAACACTTATTTGGTTGGACAAGAAATTATTTCTCGTTATGGAACCCAAAGATTAATCATCTTGCTCACAAAAGCTCTCAAAGTACTACTTCTCAAATAAACATATCTGCAACTGACTAGAGCAGCATGTTACTGCTTCACAATTTGTGTAAACGCCGGGCATGCGAACCAATTACCAAAATAAAACAAACAATGAAAGAACTATGTTTAATAGACTTTAAGAATTCTACCCAGAACTCCCTATTATATTGATATCCCATCCTCCAAGTATCCCAAGGGTAACCTACGCATACTATCTGCCCTGAAGATGCAAACAGCATGTCTGTCCGAAACACTTGCATCTACCTACAAGTCTACAAGGAATTACAATCCATAAGATCAACAACGATATCTTGAACACTGTGAGAAGAAATCTCACTTTTATTCATGTCCGTTCACCCATCTTAAGAGTTCTTGATTAATGACAATACTAGGCAAATAATTAAAGCTAAGTCTTATATTTAAACAATTTTATACATTTCATATAGTTTACTCAGTAATTCTTTCTCAAGCTCCCTAAATTACTTCTTTCCCTCAAAATGAATCACACCCATCTACAGCAAGTGGTAGAATTAGTTTATACATGCATAACAAATTTCATTTTTGAACATCTCCAGGTATGTATTTCATATGGAAACAGTCAAAACAGAATACCTACCCTTCTCGTCGAATGGCTTTTGTAATGTCATCAACCTTCTTCTTGGTTTCAACAAAGATTATCGTTTTATTTCCCCTTTCCACACCAATTTCTCTCAGCAGCTTGGATAGCCTTAACATACAAAACATAATACTTACCAACAAATAAACAACAAACTCTTACAAAAACCAGCTTTAGTCAGCAATCAGCATTTATAAGGGAAGGAAGTAGAAAAATTTCGTAAGTATAAATACAAATTGTACAAATAAAGCTTACTTCCCTTAAAATACTTTCATGAATAAAAATGAGTTTTATCAGAGATTACAATTCAGCAATATTCTAGTCTGGTAATTTCTACTATATGAGCTAACATGTATTTCACATAACTTCAGTGTTTTATAATTCACTTTGCATTCTGCCTGACAACAGCTGCATATTCTTTTAAAACAATGAATACTCTGGAAGCAAGACCTGATTTTTTAACATGAATATTGAAGCTGGCCTGTCCCACAGACCTCCCCTCTCCACAACATACTTTATCATACATGAAAACCAGATGCATACATTTTTAGAACTTTGTATTTCTACAAAATATATATATATATAAGCACGACCTGTATTCTGAGACCATGAAATCACATTAACTGCCCCTCCACATCAGTCATAAAAATACAGGCAAGAACAAACACATTGCCACTAATTTATGCACAATAGCACACTCTTTAACACTTGTTTTCAGAAGATAAATGGCTACTTACAAATACTATGTGCAACATAAAGGCCATGGACAAATGTAAGGATCAGTTCCACACACTAAAGCACTTAAATAGATCACAATATGCTTCAACCAGGAAAGACTTCTGTTCAAGTTACAGCACTTTTTTTCCTCAATATCTGATGCAACATAATTTTGTAGCTTCCCCTATATACTTGGAGTGGAAACGTCATACCAAAGAATCAATCTACCTATCTGAAAGTTATCACTGCACAAATCTTTGTTTGTAAAGGTGCACAGGCTCCTCACTATTGCCATTTGCTTATAATGGATGACAACCCAACAATGGCACTGCATACAATTAACAAAAATAAAATTTAAAACTGCTAATGACAGTTCCTCATATAAGGTGATCAAGCTAGTGTACAAGGAATTAAGATAAATTCACTACCTGAACAAGAACTTTTCCCACTGAATTTCAAGTCATAACAAATAATCACACTCAATTAATTCCAGTATTCAGTTGCCCATTTTTACTGGAAACACCTGTTAATTAGTTTTGGACCATGGCTATCGCTAAAAGATGGCAAGAAAAAAGCCAGCAAAATTTTCTTCCCACAATCTGAAAAATAAGATATTTCCTATGAAAACATACTTCCCTATGACAGCAGCAAATAACAGGTCATTATACTGTATGCCATCTACTTATTACATAACTAAAACCCAACTCTCTTCCACTGTGCCAGTTTCTATTAATATTATCAACACACAATTTTTTGAAGCTTCCAAATGGCCATTTTCCAAGAGATTACCCTGTCAAAATTCTATGTGAATTCATTGTCTCTGCAGTTCTAGCAACATGCCCAGCCAATCACAGCATCCTAGACTTCACTTTACTAACAATTCTGTATGACCTGAATATAACATCCTACATTTCCTGACTTCATCCTCCTTAAATTAAAATATCTTCCCATTATTACACAAGCGACCAACAAAACAGTCGGTGTTATTTAAGTAAGCTTACTTCATTTCCTTCTCTTGCTCTTGACACACCTCCACAATCTGCATTATGTTGTGATTGGCAGCAAGTTGTAGTGACCCAATATTCACCTGGATGTAATCATTCAAGAAATCCTCAGCTAAAGTCTGAACTTCCTTGGGCCATGTTGCAGACCACATCAAAACTTGTCGATCAGGCTGAAACCAGTTTAATACACAATTCTTATCCATTGATGTGAGCAACCTATCTAATGGACATCTGATCTTAAAATACAGAATTTACACCATGTGGGCGAACTCCATCACACAGAGCAGTAAGGTTAACCACCTCTTGTCATAGTTTCCTTATGGATCAGGGTAAATGCAGTTAAAGTTTAATAGGTAACCAGTTCCATGAAAACAAGTTAATCTTCACAAGCTAGCAATCACTCAGCTTGTCAAGAAATATCCTGCATTTCATTCAGCCCAAAAATTCATTAATGTTATCATATTAACAACAGTTACAAATAAACTCCATCCTGAGCCCCAATTCGTCCAAAGAATCCAAAACTGTATATATTTTTGAAGAAATTATAAATTCTTCAAATTAACTGCATACAGCCACTTTTATTTGAGAAAATACGAGTCAACTATAGACTAAACCCAACATTACATTAACTTCATCAAGCTTCACATCAGTCGTTTTTGCATTATTTACATTAACTCACCCGAATCTGCTCAATGATCTTGCGTATCTGTGGTTCAAATCCCATGTCAAGCATCCTGTCTGCCTCATCCAGGACAAGGTAAGTACAGCGCTTCAGGTTGGTAGTTCCTCTCTCCAGGAAATCAATCAGGCGGCCCGGAGTGGCAATAACAATTTCTACACCACGTTCCAAATCTCGAGCCTAGCAATTTGTAAGAACAGTTTGGTAAACTTAATAGATAATTATTAAAAACATACCTAGATTTCAGTCTACTGAGTTTCAAATACCTGCATCAACAAACACTTACAAATGGCCCACTTATCACTTAACAGATTTTGACTAATATTTAATAAAATTAGACGAACTAAATTATTTTACTGAACATGGTGGCTAGATTAATGAGGTATGAGGCTTAAAAACTCCACATGGAAAATACTATATTGAATACAGATTCTCCTGTAGTAAAACTCACAGCAGTCATGTGTGGGAGTAGAGTTGGGTATGTAATTTGAATAAATAAATTAACTTTTGTTGCAAACAGATAGCAGGACAACAAGAAAGTAAAAACTCTAAACCCTCAGATGACATTAACTGTATAGCACATTATATACTTCATTGCCAGTGTTAATGAACCGTGCCTCTCAGCACTTCTGCTGTTCCACACACCCTGAGTAAACACACCCCCCCCCCCCCCCCCCCCCAATCTACTATGTGGCTACCCAGTAGAAGACGGTTATCTTCTGGGTTCTTGCACCATGCAGTCTGGTAGAAGTTTACCGACATTTCAAAGGTCCTTGCTGCCTTCATTATCAGGGCAATGAATACTCATCAACCCAGAAGGCAGCCATCTTCAGACTTGCCACCATCAAATCTCAAAATTCTACTGGCCACTTAACTTGTTTACACAACAATCTTTTTACATGTCATCCCTGTCAACAATGTAGGTACAGACCACCATAAAATCTTTTACTATTCTAACAATAACAAGCGACCTGTATAAATCTCAAGAACTTAAACTATTTCTTCACTTGAGCTCACAAGCCACTATTTTCCTATGTGACATCAGCCCATCTATGTTTAAAGATACATGTTGAATACTTTTACTTAAAATTATGCCACATTTACTGTGTCAAAATTTCCACTGTCACAATAGACTGCACAGTATATGGCATTTCATTAATTAAAACCCAGTCCTAGCTACTACACATGGTCCCCACCCCTCAAACATAAAATTACACCAATGGCAATACTGAATTCCTGCAGCTATATCCTAGTCCTGCTTTAAATCAGTGCAGTCATAATTTCAGTTGTTTTGTTACTTGATGACCACTTGTTACAAACACTTCACATCCCGAAATGTCACCAGTCTCTGTATTGTCCTATTCGATACATCCTTGCAAGGATGTGCATTGCTGAATGATTCACAAGCAGCAGGAAATTATTTTGATTCAAAGTCATGTAATACATATTCTGCCTGTGGATGTTTGCTCCTGCACAGCTTTCATCTAACTGGTGTTGAGAAAAAGCCTAGCAACCAGAGAGACCTTGATCTGAGTGTCATATTGGAGTTTGGTAAAGTCTGTTTCTGATTTCATATTTGCACCATAGTACATGACTCTTGGTGGTCTATGTTTCAAATGACACCCTGCAGTTACATACTTTAATGATTATATACTGTTCGTTTCAGATTATCATAGCTTGCTGAAAACCTTCACAACAGTTTCTCACTGAAGCAAACAGAATGTTCCAAAATATTTTGTGCTAATGCTTGCTTAGCAAAAAACATCTACTTACAAGCAAAAAGAAATCTGTTTGAATATGCAACCACAAAAAAAGTAACAATTCTAAGAAAACTATATGGTGGACTGCAAAAGAAGCTCCAGACATGAGAGCCATTTACAGAGCATCAGTTTATATAGAAGTGACAATAAGTCTGTAAGAAACTTGGAGAGGCCACAATAAAATTTCACATGGTCCAAACCCAGTGACGATACTGGTTTTCAACAAATTTGTACACACCTTAACTGCACAAACACCAAAATTATGTAGCATACTTTTATAAGATAATCAGCTGTATTATTTTTAATCAAACTGATGTGAAGGATAGTAAAACCCAAGTACACAGTCACCAGCACTCTGCAGGGACTATAAGTTTGTCTCTACAGCTAGGCTTAATCTTACTGTTAAAACTGAGTTAATAATAGCAACCATAAACAGATTTTGAGGTCAGAATTATATTATGGGTAGCAACAGTAAATAAAACAAATTCTGAGCAGTATTTGATAAGCATACTGTGAATATGATTTATTTTCAATAAAGATGAAACAGTCAAACCTATAGTTCAGGGTCCATATTAAAAAAAGGAGTTTATATCAATAAGTAATCTTGCTTCATACCTGGGGCCCTTTAGGAGCACCTCCAAAAATGCATGTGTTTCGAATAAGAGACGAAGTCCCAAAGTCTCTAGCGACAGTCTGGATCTGCTGTGCAAGCTCACGTGTTGGTGCAAGAATTAAAACAATGGGACCATCACCACGATTGAGACGCTGTTGGTGGTTAATATGAACTGTTGCAGGCAACATATACTGCAATGATATAAATAAATAAATAAACATTAAAAAAACAGACCATGAAAACATTATTTGCATTCATAGCAAGAGAAGGAGACTCACAGCAAGGGTCTTTCCAGATCCAGTCTGAGCAATTCCGACCATGTCCCTTCCACTTAAAGCAATTGGCCAGCCTTGGGCCTGAATTGCTGTAGGCTCAGCAAAACCTTGTTTTCTGAAACATATATAAGTCATGAAAATTTGGTATTTGAAGGAACACAAGAGAATAAAAAAAATACACTGATGAAATCTGACATACAGGATTTCTCGCATGACATAATCTGGAAAATTTCCTTCTTCAAAATACTGGCTTGGATGTGGGACATTATTTCCTTTCACAGTGATAGCTTTACCATCCCTGTACTTCCTTACATCATCGAGAGATCTGTAATAGAAAACAAAATATTTCAACCATGTGCATACATGTTTTTCCCATACCAAAAAAAGTATCTAGTACACACACCTGTTTGCAACATCTGAATGAGGAACATAAAAATCTTTCAAAAAAGGCTGCAGATTATTCAAGTCCCACTGAGGTTTCTTCAGGTTCTCACCAGGCTGCTTTCCTTTTACATTTGTCTTTTCAGTTTGTCCGTTTTGAGTGCTCTGCTGATTTGCCCAATACCGACTCTTCAACTGATCTCTGTCTCCTCTGTACCTAAGACATAAGGCTCAGAGTGATGACTTGGGTACAATTTAACAACAAAATGCAGTGAAATCAACATAACGATCTGTATTACAGTAATAAACCTGGCTAGAAAGCCTGTATTCTTCTTTAAACAGTAATTGTGCAAAATGCAATACATTTTCCGAACGTGACAAAATGATGGATGAACTTTTAAAATGGCAGAAATAAGGTCACCAAACACAATATAAAAATGGATTACCATAACTACACTAAATTAGAAACAACAATAGAGTCAAATTTCATACATGTTATTCGAGAACCCGTTGCTGTACATGATACAGCATCAATCAAGTTTCAGTACGATCAAATGTCACTTGCCACCAATCACACCTGAAACAAAAGCCAAATTTATTATGTGGTTGCGGACATAGAGCAAACTAATAATTTCATGGGGCAATAACACAGTTTGTAAAAATATGTTGTACAACATATGGTCAATTTCCTTTTTTACGTTTTTATTATTAAAACATTGAAATTCTCCACAAACACCTTACTTACCCACCCGGCAAACAAAACGATAATGGCTGACAGCACGGGAAGAAAGACACAACAGAGCGGAATACTTGCGCTTTCAACCAGACCTTCTATTGGACAAAAAACAACCAATAACTTGGGTTAGTTCCCCGTTGCATTGCAGCCACCAGATGGCTCTGGACAAAAAATCAGCTGAGTCCACTTTCGGCATGGGTCCCCAAAGAAAATTGTGGTGGATGTACCACGGTGTACGTAGACAAAAGAATTACAGGTATACCAATACAATTACATCATTTGTATCAGATCTGTTTCTAATAGCCTCAACTTGTGAAATAACAGGTTTACTGACAAATTTAAATCCTTCAATGAAGACTATTCAGTACTAGTTTTCTCGCAGACTAGGAATTGTTCGACAGCACTTAAATTCCGATATATCAAGGTGGATAAAATACAGATACCAAGAGTATTCAGACAATAATTGGATGCAATGAGGCTAGGAGCTTTTGGCTGGGAATACATTTTAGACCAATACACAACTTTGTGACGTGACGCACGTGCGGTTTCACCTCTAAATTACCTATTTATTTTGTTCTAAGAACAAATTGGCTTAAGGTATATATTGAAGTTGTGAATGTATTCTATTTATTGTAGAAAGTAGATAAAGGAATATACAGTAAAACTCGGTTATAACGAGATCCAAGGGACCGAGGAAACGTGCCCATTATAATCGTTACTCGTTGTATCCGTAGCTATATGTTACTTTTGCTGTTATTACTTTTATCACACACATACACTGATATATGCTTATGTAAAATGGATTGAAACAACAATGAATAAATATATCTTACGATTACACGATTAACAATTTATTATATATATTTATGCACTACAAAAAATTTACACGACAAACAATTTTATTATTAAAAAAGTATTGATGGAATACACTATTTTTATGTTTTAAAGAAGTCTTCCAATATCGTTTCAAATTTCTTTTATGTGAAATTTATGAGCAATATCTTCCAGCTTACTAAGATAAATCGAAATTCGGGATCGATGTAATCGGTTTCATAAAACAAAGGAAGATTTTTCAAAGCAGTTTGTGCCTCTGCGCTCGACACATTAACTAGACTCACCACCCTCTAATTCATCGCCTTCATTTTCGAAAGCCTCCTTTTCTTTAACAGCTTCGAGAATACCCTCATCTGTCGGCATTTCGGCAGTCACGAGGTTGTTGTCCACGGTCTCGTAATCGTCCAAACATGCTATCCCAATATTCAAGCTATGTTTCGTCGATCACATTGTTAACGGGATATTGTCGTCATTTCGAATAAGAGATTGGAGGAAAAACATAAAGCTCATGTCACATGCACCCGCAGCATAAGACATGCCCCATTAACTAAGGCAGCGGTGTAGCAGAATCTGCTCTCCAGCCGCCATCGGTAACCATTCAGATCACTATACATTTGTCCCGAAAACTTGTGAGCTCCCGTAGGCCCTCGGGCTTGCGGGGATTTCCGCACTGGTATGAGGGCTACGCTCTTCGTGAGTAGCGTACTGCACTAAAGTAGATTCTGAGAACGGAAATCGAACCAAACATAGAGTTGGGTATTACTCATGCAACATTGAAGTTCACAGGCACAGACAACGCAACCACGGCTCACCGTAGACCAACAAAGGAAACATCATCTTAGGCCAGTAGACACAAAGCTAAGTAACTCAATTTAGATAATACACCAACTCTTGTGCAATTAATGTCCTGTGTGGTATTACATAAAGTATGCTTTATAACAAACCATCATCTTATGAATTGTATGATTTAATATGAATTTGTCACTGATGATGACCTCTTGAGGTCAAAACGTGTTTGGCACGAAGTGTCTTTTCAAAGTGTAAACAGTTTTGTTTGTATGCATGATTTTATATAACAATACACCACACAGTATGTAAGGTTTTAAGATGCAAGAATACTGCATACAAGGATGTCAGGAAAACAATTCACTTCATAAGTATATATCTTACATATATATTTCTGTAAATAGTTTATAACTAGTACAGTACATGAAAGAATAGATTATGGTGACATACATGACACATAAAACACTGGATCTGTGGAAAATACTGACATTAGGGTTTAATAAAAATTATAGTTCTGGAATGGCAGTTCAATTATGTATAAAATGACATGAAACAGAATCACTCTTCTTCTTCCATGATTTAGTACGTGGGAGGGGCAATGGCAGGGCCTGGCCACTGGAATGCCTCATGCTAAAACAGAACCGAACATCGAGGACATGAGTGATTCAAGGTAATAATACGCAACAGAAGAAACAAAGATTTATTGTGAACTTAAATACTGTACATCATCATGGCCACCTCCTCCTATTCAGGGAATGGTAAGGCTGGGAGAAATATGAGAGACTTCACTTTGTTATGCAAATTTCAAGTAGCCGATGCATCACCTCTCCCCTGTCGCCGAGCTCCAGTAGCTATTGCCGATCACATATTCATCTAAAACAAGCAACATAACCAAACGTTCAAGGTACAAATGTAGAGCAACAGTGCATCTAATCACAAATTAGCCTCACATCATCCTATTGGTGTCCTTTAGTGAAACACAAACCTTTGTGACACCCATAAAAATTGGGCAGTGCTTTTACTTAGTAGCAGGACATGATATTTCTCTGTGGAAAAGGGAGAAGAGCACCAGGAGAATCTGTAGCTGGAGGAGGTGGCAAGGATATGGCTGTGGATTCTAACACCAGCTGCTTAGGTGGTGCCTGTTTCATTATCCAACTTGCCTGATCGATCATCACGTCGGTCTCGTGGACTGCGACTC